TGCGTCTATTGTGGTTTTAACTTTCTGCATGTTTTAAATTATGCTTGTGATTTTTTTTAGTGAAGGTTTTATTGTTTTAGCTTTTTGTAAACTGTTTCCTACAACCAAATGGTATATAATTTTTTAAAAAATAAATAACTATAGTATTTTTATCATGTTCCAAATACTGGAGCAAGAGGTGTTATGTCCCCTGTATCCCGATCCCAGTGTTGTCTTAAAGAGGTTTCTGATTCAGAGGACTCACACTTGGGGATGGGCAGCTCTCAGCACCCTCTTCTATACTGTCTTGCAGTCCCATGCAGAGCTTGTCTGAGGCCCAGGGCAGGAGTTTTATTAGAATAAAGTTATAAACTCAAACTAAAAAAAGCAGCCAATCCTTGGTGGGCCCACCAACCCCCTGCCAGCTTAGACCTCCAAGGCCTGGGGCAACTGTACCCAGCTACCCCCACCCATCACAGGCCTGATGTCCTGTCTTGGGGGCATGGCTCTCCCATGATCCTCAGAGTGTAAAGATGACTCCCCTATAGCTTCTCCTGCTCCACAGCCATGCAGGAGCATGGGAATGCAAAACTGGCTGTGGGCCCTTTGAGAATTGTGGACAGTTCTCCAAGGGGCATAGAGCTGTTTGAAGAGCCTTCATAAGCCTTTGGATTCCTATGAGCCACTGAGAGAGCATCTTCCATAGGGTACCTAGGAGAGCCTGGAGCTGCCCAAGGTCCTGAACTGCCAGGCCTGTAGCAGAAGGAGCTCTGGGCACTGCTTCCTGTTCACCTGTGAGCCCCAGCAGAGCAGGACAGTAGGGTTAGATTCCATACATTATACATAGCATTAGGTGGAGCATTAGATCTGTAAGGACAGAATGGCAGACAGCAGGAAACATTGAAGGGAGTAGCAATGGAAAGCTTTGCCTGAAAACTTTGACCCTGGTGCAGCTAAAATTAGCCACAACCAATAGAAATTAAACAAGATGTTAGTCTCAGTTCAAACAAGTGCTATTGTTTTTAAAGGTACATAGTCATGGCTAACTAACTCAACTGGAGCCTTTTGATTTTCTGACAGAAACATCAAAATAGACATATACTTGGGTCTTGCAACAACCATCTTCATATTTTTACAGTGTCCCCCATTTCAAAGGAGTTAATGTTGTTATTTCAATTAAGCAAATCCTTATTGCGCTAAAACCTGCTCCTGTTGCAGATGTGGAGGTTGATGAGCTAAAACGGTAAAAGAACAGAAATGGGAGCCATTTTAGTGAGGAGAATCACTTCCTCCAACAGCAAACTTTGAGCATCTTCAATAACCCAATAAAAATATCAAAATTTTCAAGCAAAAGCAATACATTAAGTTAATAAAACAAATTTCCAACAATAAAAACCATAGCCATAAAATGCAGTGACAGCAGTCAAGACAGAACAATGTATCATAAAGTAGAAAGCCAAAAAAAGTAAACTGCCCTGAGGTGGTCAACAAGGTTCGCACAATGCACATGTCTCAGAGTGGGGAAGTCCTCCACAAATGTGGGGCACTGCCACAGAAAAGCACCACCCTCTGATGCCCCCAGATATTTTGGGCCACAACTCTCTTCCGCCCCACCCCAACCAGCCTGGAGGACACCAAGTTGGCAAAGTCTGGTTTGAAGAGTAGGGCCTTAGTGCATGAATTGTGCAGTTGCATATAGGAGCAGCTTCCTCTTTGGGCAGCAAGATGCCAAGCTGAATAGCATACTATACATCACAGTGATTTGTGCCTGCCAAAAATTGGCATTGTGTGTGTGTGTGTGTGCATGCACATAATACTATGTATGTATGAATAATATTTTATTTGATGTTCTTTTCAAAAAGGGATCACAAATACAGAAATATTATTTAGCAACATAGTGTGTAAGATTACATATTCTTTAATAAGTTTATATTTCGCAAAAAGAGGAGCTGGAACAGAGGCAACCCAGCAAGCGATATCCTGCTTTGTTAAAAGGATGGTCCTTTTCAGAGAGAGAAAACAAGCCAAGGCACATCTGGCAAGCCTGACGTACACCAAGAAATGTATAATTTTGTGGATGAGTGACTTATTTAACACTTGCATTATTTAACTCAGCTGTGGTATAATTCAAGACAGCATTATTCCATTGTTTAAATTTTTGCAAAATTCCACTGTTTCTTTGTACACCATTAGTGTTCTTTGGAGTAGTGAGCTATGCATAAAACTCTCAAAATAAGCACTGTGCTGTGTTCCCAGGAGGCAACGTGAGTGATAAGTCTTGGATTTTGGTATTTACTGAAGGAAATGTATTGGAAAGTTATCCCCAAAAAAAGAACTTGCTTGCTTTCCCCTTCCCTTTCTGCTGTGCTTTGTACGTATAAGAGCCTCTTTGTGTACAGAGTTGCTTCCCAATCCTCTTGTGCAGCTCTCTTTGGGAGGGTCTTACACACAATATCTCAGAATAGGAGTATGTATTAAAATGGGAACTGATACATGAAGTGTTGCAGATTTTTAGCTGGGTGCCATATAAATGAGGATGCTAACAAAATTTGGAATATCCTAGATTTCAGTGGCAGATTCTGGAATCCCTCTCAGGATATTTGGACAGGCTCCAGGGCTTACTGGACTCTGAGGAGACACAGAAAAATATTATTCCCTCCATCATGGACTTGCCGACAATAACCGAAGCAGGTTATTGCCATGATCAACCCTTGCCAAGGTTCAGTGTCTCAGCCTTGGCCTAATAAAGCTCTGCTTTTTTAGATGATTTGCAGACACCTTGGAAAACAATACAGAAGCTTTAATTTTCCAAACCCGATAGGAATAGGAAAGGACTATCTTTAAAAATTGGGGAAGGGGGTACAAAAGAGGACACAGATTTGCATGGAATTTCAATGTGCTGGTTTGTACAAAAGGATGCAAATTTAGGAACAGTTGCTATAATGTAAATAGAAATACATTTCTCCATTGTGTGTATACATCTCCAGCATGCAGGTTGCTAGATGACTTGTGTGCCTATTCAGGGCTTGTCCGACCTAGAGCAAAATGTGGATCGTCACTGGCCTGTCTCCCCGTTACTTTAAGGGTGTCCATATGGCAACCTTCCCACTCTAGTATTGTCCTAGGGCTTTGCCCCTTTTCAATCATTGTAAAGTCCAAAGTGGCCGGGGTTTGGGGGGGCACATTTAATGAGGTAAAGGTCTGGGACAGCACTGGGATAAGGTCCACATTTTGCTCTGGTGTGGATAAGCCCTCTATTTGCTGTCCAGACGCTAACTGCAGGGGGTTGCCATGTGTGGAGTAAGATAAATGCCCCCTTAGTTGGCACCAGAGATGGTTTGCCTATCTTTATAAAGTACCTCTTCCCAATAGCTGGCTGTAATAGTAGTATTGTACCTTAGTATGCATCTGCAGCACTGAGAGTGAATTTTAGCATAATAAATATATGGTACTGAAAAACAGCATGTTGCAACACAGAGCTAGTATTGACCAATGACTAATTTCTGGGCACTGAACACTACAGAGTTAGTATTGTCACATGCTGAAAAGGGCTATTAATAGGGTGAAGAACTCGGAATGGTAGGAGATTTATAATCCTCTTGGAAGCAATAGGCAGGAGGCAAATGATGGAAACAGGATGAGGCCTTATTAACCAACCAGAAAAATAGCACTCCCCTGGTGTTAATGAAATGATGAAGTCTTGGAGACAAGCAGGAGGGGAAAACAGCCAGCAACCAGTTACTGCATAAGAGTGTCTTTCATCCTCAAGGACTCTAGGAAGTGATCACTTCCTCCATCAATGATGAATGGTGCCACCTTTGAAAATGACCTTTCTGTCTTCCGAAGAGACTGCACTCTGAAACATGTTGGATAGTCAGAACTACAGTGCAATGAAGTCAATGAGACATGAAGGTGACCAATTCTTAGAAGCATCAGTTCATCACCTTTGTTCATAATTTGGTCTACAGCAGGCATAGGCAAACTCAGCCCTCCAGATGTTTTGGGACTACAACTCCCATCATCCCTAGCTAACAGGACCAGTGGTCAGGGATGATGGGAGTTGTAGTCCCAAAACATCTGGAGGGCCGAGTTTGCCTGTGCCTGGTCTACAGAGTGGACGGTGTCCACTGTCCTCACTGTTAGATTTCATAGCTTTTTTGTAATGCCTAATAAAGGTTTGGTGAAGTGAAGTCATAGCTTTCATGGTGCATACTGAATAATGATTAAGAGTTTTGCAACCACAAATGCACCCTCCAGTGGCCTTACAAAACATTTCCTGTGTTGCAATATTTAGTCTGGTCTTGCTTTTTCAACTCACTTTTATTTTATAGTTCTTTCCCCCATTGAAATGAAATAGCATGCAGCTCTTATGAATTAAAAACTGCGCTTATCTTGCTTTAAAAACAGATTAACAGCCCGTTCACACAGCAGATGCTAAACACATCTAGATGACCACCTTCATTGCTGAGGTTATAAGACACAAAGAGAAACGCAACCCTTGAATAAGGCTGGTACCAATTAAAAAGATAAGTTCGCAAAGTGTACAAACCAATTTGACCTCAGGCCAGCTCTAGTGGTGTATGACTAGTTGTGCAAGAATTTGGATGCAAATTCTATTGCATCCTATTTATGCCCAAAGTTCCTGATCTAGATAATGACTCTAGATGCAGTGTGACTTACCTGGATCAAGGCAAATGTGTTTCAGCAAGAATCTTCTAATGAAAGCGAATCCCAGTGGTGGAGCTTTTTCTTCCTTCTTCTGGAGGTCCAGCATAAGAACATTAATTCTCAACAGGGATGTAGTCTTGAGGGGGGGGGAATATTCCCTTGCTCTAGACTCAATATGAATGTTCTCCATTAAGCCATGCATTTTCAGTGTTGTGCAAATCAGAGATCTGATGGGATACCTTGGGAGCAAAAATGTGTCTGAAACTAGGGCTGCCATCCATATGCTATCCAGTGCTGCTTTAAAAATGAATGAATGAAAATGGTGGATTGACCAGATTATTATCTCCTTTCAGAAACTCTGGAAAATGGACCTAGCAAGTGTGAAAGGTGAGTAAAAGTTACCTTTGCCAGTTGCCCATTTCAGAAGTGTACGTAAGGTGCAAGGAGTGGGGATGGGCAAACATTGCCCTGTTCACCTCAGGTATTTGGCAAGAAAGCCCGGAGGGGCTTTGCAAAACCCACATCTTATGTGCATTTGACTTACACGATTTCAACCATACCTGGCTGAAGGTGGGCTGGTGAGGGGAAGGACCCAGTGGCGTAGCGTGGGTTGTCAGCACCCGGGGCAAGGCAAGTAATTTGCGCCCCCTAACCCGTGGATTTGCGCCCCCTAACCTGTGGATTTGCGCCCCCTAACCCATGGATTTGCCCTAACCCCAGATGTTGCGCCCGGTGCGGCCGGCCCCCCCTGCACCCCCCACGCTACGCCACTGGGCCAGTGGCACCGTGGCTCTGGGACTGGTGGGGATTTGCCGTGAGATCATGCAAGAGCCAAAGGCAGCTCACTCACAGGGCACTTCCAGCAGGCCTTGCCCAGGAACAAAGGTCAAGGCCTGCCACGGAAAGAGATTTTCAGCTCTCGGCCTTTCTTCCCAGGCAAGGTCTGCTCAGTTCATGGGAGCATCCCCACAACTCCCAGAGCCACTGTGCTGCTGGCCAAAGATGCGCCACTAGCAGGGTGCACCAAGGAGGACTTTCCTCCTCACTAGCCAGCCTGTAGAAGGCAGGGTGGCTCAAAGGGTTAGTTTGGGCTAGGTGCGATTTTCGCTTGATCCTCGAAACCTAGCCCTCACATAAGAAGTGATTGCTCTGTAATAAAAGAGAACGTGTGCAGAAACCGACTCTTCCCCATTTGCAAGCTGAGGCATGGGAAAGGAGTGGAGTGGAAATCCCTTAACTTTGGGGGGATAAGTATCTTATTTCACACACACACACACACACACACACACACACACACACACCCTTATCTTAGACAGTTCATTCATCCCTGTGCATCCTGCCCTCATTGTGTGCAAAAAAGGTGCAGGAAATGAATTTGCAACTGCTGCATGAACAGGTGGTGAAGGACAGTAAGATGGGAATTTGGGGAAACTTATTGCCTGCTCCAAGGTTCACTTTCAAGTTGTTTTTTTATGTGGGATGTTCTTCTCAGGAGTACTGGAAATATTAATAAAATGAATCTAAGTATTGTTTAATTAATATAATATAATATTTATATAATTTTAGTGGGCTGTGTCACTGTAGTTCAGTTTCTCCATCTCTCTCTCTCTCTCTGCCTTCTACTGTTTTATCTTGGTAAAAAAAAGAAGACTTGTTTAAAAATGAAAATGCTGTAAAATGCATTGCCTCGCTTTCTAAGTACTTGACAAGAATCATCATCAGACACGGAAACATATTTTGTTGCTTGATTCTAGTGCAGCTAACAGAAAGAGATCAAACAAAGATGAGACCTATTGGAAGGAGATCAACGCAGCGATGGCCTTAACAAACCTTGCACAAGGAAAGGACAAACTCCAGGGGACAACCAGCTGCATCATTCAGAAATCGTCACACATATCAGAAGTAAAGACTGTCAAAGTGCCACTAGTTCCACCGTTTTAAAGAGAGTTGTTGCTTTTCTTTCCAACACATGTGGACATGTATTTTTCATGCCATTGGTTTCCCCCCCGTAAGATCAGAATGAGAGGTCTGAAGCAAGAATTGAGAACCAGGTTCCTTTTGTAGCACGGTCAGTAAAAATAAGAATGGGAAGTTCTCGCCATGCAGGCATGCTTGAAATCAATGGCAATCTCTCAAGAGCCTGAGCGTGTTCTCGTACGATTCCCATTCGTTTCAGTGTTGCTTGTGCAAGAGACATTCCCAATGAATTATGCACAAAGATGGCAATAAACAAGTGCTCCCTCAGGCTAAAATATTTTGATTTCTGGAATAAAATATAAAAGCAGTTCTATAAAGGGCATGTAAATTATGGGTGGCGAAGCCTCCCAAGTTTGTTTGTTTTTTTAAGTCAAAACTATTAACTTATTTTATTGTATTAATCAAACTGCACATTAAGCGCTGCATTGCTATAACAATAAGTGCCTTGCTTTCGTACAATAAGCTAGAACGTGGGCATAGCTCAATACAACTGTGCCTCAAAAGTGTGCCAACGCCACAACGCTTAACCTTTGCATGTAATTTCTAAATGCATCCTGACCAGTTTAAAGCTGACCTCAGAAAGGGTAGACATTTCTCAAAAGCCCTGGAGCATTTGCCTTGTATGGATTAAATAAATCTCTTCGGTGAAATTGCTACATTTTACAACGGAAAAGTCCACTATGTTAACAAGTTATGTGGGGTTTTTCTTATTCAAATGGGGGAAACGTTGCTATGCCTCTATGGGCCCCCCCCCTCCTGACTGCATTTGCCATATGTTAAAAAATACAAAGAATAATTCCTTTCATAAGTGCAATACTGTATGTGGGGGAAGAGTCTCATCTTTTTTCAAGGAGAATCCTGATTACGTACATTAAAGCCGTTGCTTCAGTTACTTTGCAACGTGAATGTAAAAAGGAAAAAAACCTCCAATAGCCACAGGTGGACAAAACCATTATAATGGAATTGCCCAGTCCTAGAGCTTTTTCTTTCATATGGACTAAAAGGGCTGCCTTTGAGTGTGTGTTTTATGTGAAGAAAAATGTACGTTGACCAGAATGGTCATTCACATTACTTATAATGCCTCTTCTCAGATTGCCTAGTCAGTACATTGACAGAGATTGGAGGTTAACAATAATAGAGAGTTCAAAGGGGATTTAAGCCTTACATAAGAACAAGCTCTGATTCTTTTATGTAGTTCAAATGTTTAACTATAAAAAGACTCATTGTGATAGTTTAAGTCGTTGTCCCAATGATGAAACCATCAGTAAATCCAGTTGGGATTCCTTCCTTTTAAGCTCTCCTTCTGACTTATTGAAACTGTTATGTAAGTAAACAAAGCAGATCACTTTTCTGGTACCAAATCAACCTATGCTTCAGTTTGTTATTTATACTGGAGCTCAATAACTTTCCACGACGGAAACTGTTATTGCCTTAATGCGTCCAAAATGTTTTTATTTTGGTACGGAATGTATCAAATGAAGAAAATCCCCATTTCAATGAAGGGGGGAAAGAAGGCATAATGAAATCTATATATTATATAAAGCAAATCATTGGAATTAAAAACACATGGGGCACACACAACACACCAAACAATTGTGGCACTGAAGCAATTTAAAGTCAAAGTAGATGCTAAATTGGGCATTAGAAACACCATTTTAAACTCCTAAATTTGACTAAAGCAAGTATACTTTGCTCCAACCATACGAAAATATTCTAATCAGGTTTACCCTCTTGAATAAGCAACAGTAAAGCCAAATATAGCTTATACTCGGGTCAGTAAAATAAAACTGGGAAAAGAGCTGATTATCCAGAGTCCAGTTCAGGGGAAATGGAAACCTAGCTTATTTTCCTTAAACCAGTTTTAATGTAACATCTGAATAACAGTATATTTGTAAATCTAGTTAGAGATCCTAGTTTGGAAATGAGTTCTCAGTCCAGGAAAGCTGCTAATCCTGTTTTTATACTCACCCCAGTTTGGTACATAAAAAGAAATTGACCAAACCCTGTCTGAGGTGGGCAGAGTCACAGCAAAGATCATTAAGCAAAATGCCTAGAACCTGATCCACTTCATCTTCTATGCAGGTACAGTGGTGCCCCGCAAGACGAATGCCTCGCAAGACGAAAAACTCGGTAGACGAAAAGGTTTTCCGTTTTTTGAGTTGTTCCGCAAGACAAATTTCCCTATGGGCTTGCTTCGCAAGACGAAACGTCTTGCGAGTTCTTGCGAGTTTGTTTCCTTTTTCTTAAAGCCGCTAAGCCGTTAATAGCCGCTAAGCCGTTAATAGCCGCTAATAGCCGCTAAGCCGCTAATAGCCGTGCTTCGCAATACGAAAAAACCGCAAGACGAAGAGACTCACGGAACGGATTAATTTCATCTTGCGAGGCACCACTGTATTGGGTGAGTTCAATTTTTCTGGTGGAAAAAGCTATCCAGATGCAGAAAGAGGGATAGTTTCAGGACCTTACATGCATGGATCAGCGCAAAACACAGTGTGGAACTGGATGTCCTTGTAGATTTGCTAGTTTGCAATACAATAATGAGGGTCGGGCAATGCAGCCAGAGCAAAATAAACTACATTTCGATTTAAAATCTGAACTGAGTCTTTTTGTTTGGGTGTAACCTATTGGAATTTTACTCCTACCCCTTCTGCTTCTAATAAGACCCAGTGAACTTCTAAGCTGCCCATTCCTTCTTTACTTGACATATATGGCAAACTCCCGTATAGTGAGGAAGATCAGAACCCTTGGTGAAGCTGACTTTCAGGTATGCAACGCGTTGCTCAAGCATAGCCAGTTCCAATTGCACTAATATAATCTAGATAGCAGATATCAAACCTCGATGTAACATGTAGAACGCATCTTGATGTAACATAGCATTTTGTGGTTGTTGTTGTTTTAAAGTGTACAATTAAAATGATTTGATATGAAAAAATATTTTGTACATAAATATATATATTTTTACTTTTTTAAAATTGCTATTTTGCATTGACATAAAAAGCAGGAAATATATGTTACGACTGTATGAACAGTTGAAGGATACTTTTGGTTGACTTGCACCTTCGTGCAAAAGAGGTCTCCCCCCACAACAGTGACTTTCAGACCTGACCAACTAGACTTTGTCATAACAATGTGAGTTTTTAAAGAAAACAGAGTAAACACTTCACTTTAGTTCATACTATTATAAGTTATTCTGTTATTAACTATTTTGTGACAATAAACTGTCTTGCCAAACTTTTCTGTAAGACATATTCTCTCTGCTTTTTATTTGGGTGATTGGCAACAAAACGGAAGTACTAACACCACAAAACTAACCATGCTTACTCAGAACGACATCGGACTGAAAAGAACGAAAGCCACAGGGCTTGCTAGTATCAAAGATTCTGTGTGCAAGTATGTATAAGTTGTTTTTTAAGGGGCACCTATGAAAAATCAGGTACTCTGAGAGGTGCAATGTTTTTCCAGAGAGCATGGGGCATCTTGGATTGTGCAGTGCAGCCACTTGGGGGTAGCAAATATTTTTGGGCCATCCTTTTGGTGTCAGGGCCAGGCTGGAACTGTGAGCAGACCTGGAAAGCGTGATTTTCAGCCATGAGTCCCTGAGGTCAGGGATCGAACCTGTTGGAGCCGAGCCTTGAGATGGGCTCTGGAGCCCAAACACCACAGAAAGAAGGGGTGTTGTGGGACAGCCTGCAAATGCAGGTTTCTAAGGTCTATCCCCCAGGTCTATTTAGTATCAAGCCTAGATGCCACCAGAGCCCAAATCAAAATGTGCCTGTTTCAGGGCAACGTCCTCCCTGGAGCCCTCCTCAATGCCAGTTTCCTTTTGCAACTGTACCTCAGTGAGGGGATCACAGGGTGAGGTTGCTGCAGGCACCATGATGGGGCTTCTTTTAGGCTATGAATGTTATTGTAAGCATGCATAGCAGTATCTAGGGCTGCCAGAAAATATGGAAAATGTGGCTCCCAAGGTACTTTGATATTACTGCAAGTCATCCATTATGGTTCAACCTGGCATGGGGAGGGGGCAGTACACATGGATTCTGGGAACAATGAATACTGCATTTCACATAATATATTGTGGCTCCAAATGATATGTCTAAAGGGGGGTCCACTGCAACATCCACCAGGAGCTGTCTTTGTCACATTGTCTAGGTTTGGGAAATGGAAGAAACCAACAGGGGCAGAGTGAGGTTGATCAGTACTGACTGAATCGAATTTTGGGCCTAGGTAATGTTGCCCAATATTTAGAGCGTTCTTCAACATGGGTTTGTAGAAGTTGGACTCCCAGCTCCTATTTTCTACAACCAGCTTAGCCAGTGGTCAGGGATTATGGGAGCTGTAGCTTAACATATTGGAGCCCAAGACTGAAGAACCTTGATCTAGAGCAGGGTTCCCCAAACTTGGGTCTCCAGCTGTTTTTGGACTACATCATCCCTAGCTAGCAGGACCAGTGGTCAGGGATGGTGGGGGTTTTAGTTGAAAAACAGCTGGAGACCCAAATTTGGGAAACACTGATCTAGAGGAAGTTCAGCAACAAAATTAGGACCTCCCAAATTATTTATGGTGTAGAATTGGGGGATCCACACTTTACTCATCAGAAGGAACTGTTCTTTGTCAAAGTAAGGGCAGGAGATCAGGTGCCTAGCATTTATATGAAGCCTGGACAATCCAGTGGATTCATAATGCATTGCAAATGGACAGGCTGATGTTATTCACACGAATTCCCTTTGGTGCCAAGAGTATGCAACCACACACTCCTGAAGCCCATTAGCTGTAAACACTTGCGACTGCCAGTTGATTTCCACACATAACAAACATTCAATTAGACCCTCGAGTTTCAAACTTAAGAGACACTTGTCCTTGTTTTTTTGTTACATTTTTACTTTAATTTAGTCTTCTTGTTGCTGCATAGTTTCTGGAAACACAGATTTAAAAGTTTTCTTAAAAACGCAAGAAGCATGCTCAGTGGTGAGCCAACAACTAACAGAGTTTCAGTTATTTATGATGTAGAAAACCAAGCATCATTAAAATTGCTGGTCTTTGTTTCAACATATGTAACCGTTTTAATAAAATAAGTAACTTGGTTTTATTTATAATAAAAATAAAAAACAAGCTTGCCATTTTGGAAATAAATGATCATTCCTTGGGCCATAGATTTCATATGCATGTTCTGTTCGCATTAAGTTGTTGCTCAATATCTCAGGGCTACAATCCAAAAGAGTGTTAAGCACGCTTGAGCCCATTGATGTCAATAGGTTTAACTTGGTACTGGACTCTTGCCCAGGAGTTTATGTGGAATGTGATACAGAAATTGTTCTAGGAGTAGGAGGCAGCGGCTCGCTGCAGAGATCTGGCACATGGTAGCTGATTGTATCGTCGTGATAACAGATGCACAGCAAGATCACATCTAATTTGTGCTCAAGTATTTAAAAGACAGGGAATAGTCTGTATTATGATATAGCAATTCTGTGCCAGGTCCTTTGGCTGCTTAAAAGGATCATAAGCACATATGCTTTGTATTCCGACCTTCGAGTTTAATGTCTTTGGTTCTGGCTCGATAACGCACTGTTTGCCTTCAGAAGTTCACTGTCAGTTCAGTTTCATCACCGGGTGTTTTAAAAAGCTGCCAACGAACAGTGCTGATCAGCCCCAGAGCTACCACCGCACCTGCTACACCAAACATACCCTAAAGGGAAAACATTTTCCAGAAGCCTTTTGTTGCAGGAAACGAAATGCAGTTTTGAAACATGGGCCTACAATGCGTTCCTGACCTTTCCTGGCTCTCACAGAGGGAATCAGAAAATTGCAGAGTTGGAAGGGATCTTGAGTCACTTAGTCCAACGTCCTGCAATTCAGGAATCTCACCTAAAGCATCCATGACAGATGGCCATCCAACCTCTGCTTAAAAACCTCCAGGGCAGAAGAGTCCACCACCATCTGAGGGAGTCCATTCTACTGTCAGACAGCTCTTAGTGTTGGACATTGCTGGGTTTGGGGGGCAGTTTGGATAGCTAGGGGTATGTGGAGGTGTGAGTTGAAATACTGAGATACTATGGAGTGGCTTGCCAGTCCATGATGCTTCAGGTTTGAGTCACCCCTCCAGAAATCAAAGTCTGCAGATTAAGGGTGAGCATCATTGACGGTCACCTAGAAAAACTAAATGTAAACTGAATATTTGGCTTTCCCCAGACATCAGTGATTGTGAGACCGACCCTAAAATAAATAATAAAAACCAACCCTTGGGCACATTGCTAAACGCTTCCTGTTCCAGAAGAGAGCAGAAAGAGGACCACGATGAAAATACGCATTAAGAGGAAAAATTGACCAAAAGAGAAAAGAGGCCATGGACACGTAAAGCTGTAGATTCGCCGTCGCCCCCCTCCCCTTCCCCACCCTCAGTCTCCTCTCCCCAAACTCTCTTAAAGCAACTGTTATGTCAGCTTGGCTTATTGGCAGTGGATGTGGTTGTTGGCAGTGGATGTTAGGTCTGGCTCAAGACAACTATAACTCACGCACCTGACTTTTTAAGCAGCTGAGGTCTGGTTTCTTAATGGATGTTCTCTTTTATTTGTCTTGTTGGTTCCTTCTTCAGATATTTTTACTTTCCTGTTCAGACTTTTTCTGGACATGATCCCTCCACCCCTCTTCATTCCTCCCCCCCTTTCCTGGAGAGAATATTACAATACGCTGGTTCTTTACACCAGATGATATTCTGCTCACTTTTATCACAGAACAATTAAAAGTGTTTCTTGCTGGCTGATTGTCTTTTGCCCTCTCGGAGCAAAGGTAGGCACCATGTTTTAACAGATGTTCAAGATAAAACATCCTCCTTTTGCCCCAGCACACACTCTGAATTATCAGGTCTGCAAGTTTTCAGTGTGTGGATAAACTTGACCCAAACTGGCTACAGACAGTGATTTGAGCTCAAGTTGCTTCCCTCCAGGGGAAGCACGGGAGGTTACAGCTATTTTTTAAAAAAGAATAAGCTGAAGGAGAAAATATACACATCTAACTGTGTCTATATTTTTAAAAAGCTACACAGCCCATATGTGAGTGCAGAAGCAAAACTGAACACTGAAGCAGAAGATGAACTGCTGATATACTTGTCTATAAAGCAAACTGCAAACACAGAATCACACTACTGTGACTA